AATCCCAACTTAATAGCATCAGTGGGAGGTGGTGATCAGTTGAAGGAAGTAGGTCATAGGGCGTACCCTGGAAAGATACAGCTAGTCCTCATGCTAGCCCACCCTCCCAACCCCCAACCCTACTTCTTGTCAACACTAAGGTGAGTGACTTTGCTCTGTCACACTGTTAACCATGGTGTTCTGTCTCATCACAGCCTATAAACAGCAAAGCAAACCAATCATGGACTGAAAACTCAGACAGTATGAGCCATGTAAGCTCTCCATCCTTTACTGTTTATATAAGTCTTTTCTCACTGCACAGGCAAAACCTCTAACACATGGATGCAAAGTCTATGTGCCATGTTTTGAATTCTATGTCAGAAATACCTATGTGAGGTGCACATATTAGATCATGGATGTGAGATGTCCTATACAATTTAGGAGACTGCCTGGTCACACATTGACCTTGCTCCTTAAAGTCTCCCCACCCAGGTGTTAGAGAAACATAAATATCCCAAGATCCAAGAACTTAGGTGACTAGCTCTATTTTTTTGTTGTTTATTTGTTTGTTTGTTTGTTTTCCAGGACAGGGTTTCTCTGTGTACTTTCAGTGCCTGTCCTGGAACTCACTCTGTAGACCAGGCTGGCCTTGAACTTAGAGATCCGTCTGGCTCTGCCTCCCAAGTGCTGGGATTAAAGGCGTGCACCACCACTGCCTGCCTTGGCTAGCTCTATCTTAATTCAGTCCTGATCTCTACAGTACCTCCGTGTTGGGGGATATTTGATCACACTGTGAACCCTGAGTTTGCATTTGCATTGATTAAATAAAATTAACCTTAGGTCAGATGGCTAAGACAGCAACCAGTTGACAGAAAGTAATCACAGCACCAGAAGGCACCTGGAAAAGGCAGGGACCCTGGAAGTAGTGGGAAGGGGCTTTGAGTGTCGAGGCCTTCTCTGTTTTGATGGATCGGGAGGACTTAGTGCTTTTTGGGAGACAGATGCTATGGAGACGTGGGGAGTCAGACATACAGAATAAAAGAAAGGTAAAAAGCCACATGGCAAAAACATAGATTAATAAAAGCAGGTTAATTTAAATTATAAGAGCTAGTGGGACAAGCCTAAGCTAAGGCTGAGCTTTCATAATTAATAAGAAGTCTCCATGCCATTATTTGGGAGCTGGCTGGTGGGACAGAAAAAGACTCATTATACCTCCATGTTCACTATTTTCATCTCACTGTTATCTAAGTGTTCACAAAAGTACATCGCAAAGGCTATATTTTAATATAACTGTCCTTTGAGGCCTCAGAGATCTGGGTAGAGTTTATCTACTCCTCCTGTTTAATCCTGTGAAAAGCATGTTCAGAGTACCATTAACATAAGTAAACTCATCAATATCCCCTTATCAAAATGTCAGCACTCATGAGGCTGAGGCAGGAGGATTACTGAGAGTTCAAGGCCGGCCAAGTTTGTAGCATGATTAGTCTATCAAACAAACAAACAAACCGGAAGCCTTAAGGCCATCCATCACTAAGCAGCAGTCGGGAATTTCTCATGGAAAGTCTTCAGTAAGCAAAGAGAATTCAGAACTTCCTGGTAAGTTCTATCACACACATCGGGACAACTGGCACTCAAATGGAGCACTGATGCCCACCGAACCTGAGTTGTTGCAACCCAGAAGAGGTGCCCAAAGTGTCTTGACATCCCCTAGATTGAAAATATCAGCTTCAATCCCACTGAGAAGACATAGGAAAATTAAAACAAACTTCATAAAAACAGCCTAGGCCTGGATGTTCTGGAATAGTTAAACCCCAACTCTGGAACTAGGTATGGTGTGGTGGTAGAGGCATGCTTGTAATCTCAGTACTTGGGAGGTAGAGGCAGGAGAATTGGAAGTTTAAGGACACAGCTACATAGTGGGTGAGATCAAGTCTAGCAAGGGCTGCATGTGACTCCTTGTCAAAAAAACAGAAAAAGAAGAAAGGAGAGGAAGAGCCCTAGCTCTGCAGTGAAAACATCTGGGTTCAGATCTGGCAATGCAAATCTCAACTCAGTCATGTCTCTTCCCCACTCATGGGCATGAAAGAACTGCCCATCTCACTCATGACACTGGTAAACGCAAGTAGCTAACAGTCATCTGGTGTCTAAGTAGGAATTCAAGGGAATTAACTACTAGCTGTGGTTTGTGATAACTACTCACACAATGAGTCCTTCAGTGAAGTGCTGATTTTCTGAATCAGTCTCACATTAGTCATCCAAAGCTTCCAAATTGTGATCAAACAAAATCATCAGACTGATCAATCATCATGAGAATGGGGAAATCCATGGCACACATCTTTTGTCTCATTAATAAATTTTCTAAATGAGTTTCCCTTCTAAGAGATACAATCATAAATGTGACATGTATGTAAATCTGACTTTTGGTGAGCTGCTCATCTTCACTTGATCTTTTAAGATAAGCTACACATAACTTGAATCACTACATTCACTACACTGATGATCTGTAAGTGTGGGTCAATCGGATGGCATACTTTCATCAGCAGTCTTTAATTCATCAAAAGCCTGTATGCAGGAGTAACAGACCTCAGATGTCAATGACAATCTCAAGAAGAATTCTCTTGCATTTAACAAATAGACAGGTGTGTGGTATTCAAGTGCTATGTGTGTATTCTACATGCCAAGAATTGAGAAAAAAAAAAAAAAAGCCTGGCAATAGATCCCACTGCGGTCCTGATGTGTGAACTCCAGCACCAGAGAGAACTATAAACAAATGACCACACTTCCCCTACCATAAATAACTAAAAGTCATCAGAGTGACTTTAGCAATTCCTTGAAACCACATTTCTATTAAATCTTTTAAGAATTTATATTAGCTTTAATACCTGACTTCACTTCATCTGATATATAAATACAACTACAATTCTTTTTTTTTATTGCAATATCATCATTCTAGGCCAAAGAGTCAACACTGAAAGGAGATGAACACTGTCGTGTAAGAGTGGAGTGTGTCTTCCCACCGGGGTTGTTCAGTCCAGTGTTGATGGGTAAATGAGACAAGGAAACCTAGGGTTCACTTTAACAGTATTCCCACTAAAGCGACTTTGCTCTGAAGCATTATAAGATAAAGGCTTTCACAGGCACAGGCTACCCAGAGTGATGTTTTCCAAGATAACAGAGTCTAAATTCTCCTCTTCAAAGTAAACAATGAAAACCTTATCAATTCTAGAGAAATCAAACTTGCAGCAATTCCTCGAATTTCAGAAGAATACACATTTAGCCACTATGTAGTCAAAGTTGTGAAATACAATGTCACCCTGGCCCTGTTCATAGTTCATGACCTGTGCAGTAACCAGGTAGCAGAATGAATCTCACAGAGGATGAAATATTGAAATGTAACGTGAACCCCCAAACGGTATTTTTCTCACAGGAAGAAGTAAAGCTGGGGAAAGGTATGAGTGGCTTTTCTCTAAACCACTTTTTCTACTGTATATTAATTCCTATTTCCGAAAAGCAAAGAAGAGGGGATGCAGAAATGTCCAAAGGGCTCTGCTGTCTGCTCATAACTGCCCAAGAGCAGTAGAGGAAAAGCCAAGTCAGAGCCCGCTTTCTCCAGTAGACTGATGTTAAGTAAGACCTAGCAAAAACTTCTCCAGCCAGTTAAGTAGACCGGGCTGTAGGACTTCTCAGAACTCCCAGCGCTCCACAAGGTGACCAAGAACAGACATTTCCCGGTCTTACTTCTAAGGAAGAAGGAATCCCCCCTGTGCCCCTTCTCCTCAGCCGCTGCATTACTGGCTCCTCGCCTATCTCATCAGATCCTTGAAATAACCCATTCTTTGGACTTCGTCATATCTCCCCCAAAGCGGGGGGGGGGGGAGGAATGTGCAGAAACACTTAGATCCTTTTTTTTAAAGTCAAAATAATTCCCTTTCGACGGGGTTTTATGCAAAAGCCTTGTAGAGAGTGGGTAGTTACTCCCCAAATATGAAAATATACACTCAAACTCGGGGGGGGGGGCGTCCGTCAGGTTCTTGGAAAATACTAGGTTGAAATATCAGGGTCCACTCAGTAGCAGTAGTTCTGCTGGGCGGTGGCGCTCCCTGAGGTCTAGTCTACAATAACGTTCCCGCCCGTACCCAGTTAGGGACATCCTCAAGTTCTCACGCCTAGTGCATCGCAGCACCCCATCCCTCCATTGCTTCCCAGAGAGACCTTGGTGTAGAGTAGGGCGGGGGCGCACAGACCTAAGCTAGCTGTCGGCATGCTTTCCGGAGCTGTCGGGCTCCACTTACATGCCAGGCTGGAGCTGCAGGGCGCTTCCTGGTGGCCAGTGGTCGGCCGCCCAGAGGCAGAAGCACCAGAACCACAGTGGGGAGGTCATCTCAGTGATGCTGAGCCAGCGGGGCCACCGCCCCAACTGCGCGCCGTGTGCCGCTCGGAATCTTCAAGTCCGAATCCCGCGCAGAAGTTGGGCTCGCCAGGCAGAAGTTGCAAGTGCCGGCTCGCTCTCGAGGACCGCGATGTGCGTCTTGCTGCGCTGGGCGCGGCAGCAGCTCGACCCCAGCAGGCGACACAGGCAACAGCGAGCGAGCGCTAGTTGTGGCCGGCCAAGCCAACCCCAGGCGCTGTAGCCCAAGAGCTGCACAGCCCCTGCATTACCCGAGACAACTAGAGACCAGCGAGCATAGCGGTCCTGCAGCCCCCGCAGCCCTGATGCCATGGCAACGCGCTCGCCGCCCTCTGGCCCCAGCCCCTCCGGAGCGCTTAAAGAGACAGCCCCCTGGCCACCACGCGCTCCTTGCGCTGCAGGGCGGCCCCCGCCCCCACGCCCTCTTCACCCTCTCTTCTCCAAGGGGCGCTGGGCGGTGGCTGGGGAAGCATCTGGCACCTCATATCATGTTCTTCCACCAATAATCCACACAACTCTACTCCCAACCTCTTCCTCCAAATCCTTTGAGCATCCTCCGCCCCAAGCCAGCAAAGACGCTAAGCAGTGCCGGCTTTTCCCCTCCAACACCAACCTGCTTAGGACCAACCAGCTGCGCATCTGCCACCAGCGGAGAGCAAAAGGAAGCTGACTTTTGATTCCCTCTCGCTCAGCTCCCTCCCACCTGGAGGCTGTGAGGACAGTCTGAGCACAGCTCTGGGGGAGGTAAGCTTGAAGTAGGAAAGGAATTGCAATTGACCGAGTCCAGTCTGCTGCCAAATCGACAGTTGCTGTACACATCGCTGGCGCATCCAGAAGTCCTGGATATTCAAAATGAGATAATCTCCCTCCGCTCTATTTGGCCACCATCTCACTCATTTTAGGCACCAAGAGTTTTAAGAGGCGCCGGCTCTTCTCCAAACCTAGTCCCTCCTTCCTTCAAACCGGCTCTGAGTGCCTAAAATCCGCAGAGCAACCTCCAGTTGCTAGCCCCGGTGGTCCTTCCAGAAGGGAACAGCGTCTGCTCAAATCGGGAAGCTTAGGCTGTGGAACTAGCCTGCGCTGCCAGGGATGCTCAGCCAAGAGCAGGATGAGCGAGCGGTAGGCAGTAGCTTCTCCGGCCGGAGGCTATGCCTCTGCCCGGCGCCAGCTGCTGTCTGGAAGGCCACAAGCCTCTGGGAGTGTGTTTCGTGAAAATAAAAATCTATGGCGCGTCATGCCCTCCAACAAGGACAGCCCAGGCTTGGGAGCCATCATCTGCGCTTAAATCCCCCCACCCCCAAATGCGAAGCAATCTGCAGGGGAATAACTTTTGCCTTTTGCTTTTATTCCTAAACTTAAAAAAGTGTCTCTCCAGAGAGTTGTTCTTTGTCAAATACTTAAAGTGGTAGTATGTGGTTCCCTCACTCGTAGAAGCCCTAAAAGAATCTTTCTTAGATGGTTTGGATTCCCTTTTGCCCTCCATGAATGAATTAATCACCTACCCCTTAGTCCCCATCTTTCAAACCAATGTTCCTTTATTACTTTCAGCTTTTCTGACAGGGAGAAAACAACTGGGCATTTCTAGAGGGACTGGAGGATGCTGTTAAAGTGTCTCTGAGAAGAAAATAAAGAAGGGTCTGTGAAAGAAAGAATCAGACCTGCAGGCTTTAGAACTTCTTGACTGTACTCCTTGAATTTGAGTTGGACTTCTCGCAGTATCTTCTATTTATCTTAGACTTATCTATTGTTGTATATTCGTTCTTTAAGTTAAACTTGTGTGTGTGTGTGTGTGTGTGTGTGTGTGTGTGTGTGTGTGTGTGTGTCTTCTTTATTTGAGTTAAACTTGTGGACAAATTTTAAAATTGTATATGTGCAGCAAGTTATTTTTTGGCATATATCCTGAAAAGATAATTTTAGAGCTGGTTGCACAAAATAAACATAAATTTAAACTCCTAAACTATAAATTATTCTTATTTTCTTTCCTAGAGGCAGTTCTGCATACAGCAGGCCCTGAAGACCAGAAGTCCAGCCCTAGAGTCACTGAGCCTAGCAGCAATGCTAACTTGTGCTCCAGAGGTCTGAGGTCACCTGACCACCTTCTAATTAGTTCTCACCTATACTGTAAAATCCACATTTCATTCCTCAAAAGTATCTCGAATCTCTTGGTCATCTTTATTAAATACAAGAAAAAATAATAACAAAGTTGATCGTTTAGTCTCCCTTCCCTCCTCTTCCTTGATCCCTCCTCTTCCAGGACAATGTTAATGAACAGTCAGAAGGCTCCGGACAAGCAGGGTCCTATGGGGATGAGAACACAAGAAAGTCACTGGCTAATACACAGCAACAGTGTCGTCTGAACTGTGTATCCTGACTATGTACAGTGTACGCATAGGTGAAAAGATGAGCCCTGTCCCTTCTAATTCCATTTCTCAAAGCTGAGGTTGTTTTAATACAGCTTTGATCTTAATGGTGTTAATGAAAATGTATAGCACACCTAAACATGAGAGGGTAGATTAACTGTCTCCTGAAACTCCCTGTGACGCGCTATGCCTTTCTTTGCTTCTGGGCTAGTTTTAACTCTGTAGGGGTCTACAGCTAATCACATTCCCTTCTAGAATGCAGAAAGTTTCTAAAACATTTCCTTTCTTTGTATTAAAGAAATCTTACATAAATAATAGTCTATATTTATTACAAAACAAAATTTAAAGTAAGCCATAGCTGAAACTCACAAGTATCTAAAGACTTAAAAATAATGGAAAAATATAGAAATATTTGTAAATTTTCTGATTTGCATGGTTATACTAAAGGATAGCTTGGGTATGTGGGGAGCACATCAGTCCATTGGAAATCCTGTGTTTGAACATTTTTCTTTCATGTACATTAGTTTGAATATTTATTATAAATGAACATTGAGAGCACTTTGGATGTGACAGAATAAATATGATTAGTGTATATTCCACAAATTGAGGTTGATTTCAATGTAGTCTTTCATGGATAATAATCTAAATACAACATCATGACATAAGCAACATCATTACATGTAATGGCCTAAGGATTAATATTTTACCACGAACTGGACAAACCTGATTTGAATTCAGCTCCCCTCTTGAAGCACTTTTATACACCTTAAAAGCAAGCAGTAAGGTGTGGAGGAATAACGCAGTTGGTGAAGTGCTTGTAAGGCCAGCTGGAGGCCTGGAGTTTGAGCCTCAGCACTCAAGGGACAAAGCTCACCCTGGTGAGGCATGCTCATGATCTCAGCACCTACGAGGCTGAGACAGGTGGATTACCAAGCCAGCCAGCCTAGCCTAATCTGCAAGCCCCAGGTTCTGAGAGAGCCTGCCTCAAAAAAACATGGTGGAAGGATCCTGAGGAACGGCAGCTGAGATTAACTTCTAGCCTCCAAACACACACATATGCATGCATGTGTGTGCCCATTCCCTGCTGAGACAGCATCTACATCTGCCCATACTGTATGCACACTTACAGGAAACAACTAGTTATTGGTTTCATCAGTGAGCATCAGGTTATCTGTCAGCTCCAGTCCTTCATATTAAAGCAACAATACAGCTCTCCGGTTTCAGGGCACTGTAATCACATAAATGAAGCTAGAAATGGAAAAACAATTTGCCTTCATTGCCTAAAGTGGCAGGCATTATTAAATTAGTAAAGCAGGAGAATTAGGTATGAAATGTACCAATTTCAAAATTTAAAGAGAAATTTAGTATTAATAATATCCCCTGCTGAGACACAAATTTCATGGAAAAAATAATCCAGAATCATCACAAATTGAGTTCTTCTTTTTGCTCAGATATATATCTGGTTTGTTTAATATATATATATATGTATGTATATATTAAACCAGACAGAGTCTTTAAGAAAAGAAAAAAACAGGCCAAATATACTTGACAAATGTTATCTCTGAGAACAGAGGTTTGAAGGGACTTCAGTGGCCATGCCTCATGACACCCCCAATGTTTTCATACCTGCGTCATAGGAGTGATAAATCCAAGCCTCTTCCTTGTTTCAGGGAGGTGGGGTAAGCCAATTTCATGCTTTGTGTATGCTAGTTGTAAAAAGGAGTGCTTACCTAAAAAGAAATAGATTTGGACCAGATGTTCCTCCAATCTTCCTCAGCTGCTGCTGAAGCTTTGCAGTCACCAAATACTTTATCTTCTCGTCTATCTTCTTCTAATTGAGAAATTGTTGATCCATGCAGTTCGACAGGCAGGCTGCTGCAAAAGCCTTCCTGCCAACGCTTTTCAGCACTGCCCTCCTGCACACAAAAAAACTCCTAGCGTCTGTACAGGGACTGAGAAAAAAGCACAGGCCATCCCATTCAGCAGGTGTTGTGGGTTGAAAGAGGAGGTCAGAAAGCAATTCTTCAAAGGGCAGCTTCTGTCACCTGCAAGTGTAATAAATTGCCATTATAGAAGTGCCTACAAAGCACTAATGAGCCATGTACACTGAAATCTTGATGCCAGGCAAAATAGAATGAAATTCACCCAGAAACCAACTGAGATTGTCGCACCAAGGTGTATCTAATCATCCTCACTTTGATTTCATCTGCCACAAAATTGTGTCCCTACAAGTTCACAGTTAACTCTGTCTTCTTAAAAAAAAAATGATAAATTCAACGTAACGTCTTTGGACATTTGTTTAATGCTTTTCTCTATCATGTTTTTATCCCACAGTACTTGTGAGTTGCAATGACTTTAAAATTGTAAGTTAGGATGGAACTTCCACATATTTATTAGCACATAATGACAAATATGAGCAGACACATAGCTGACTTGTACCTTTGTGTTTTAGAAATAACACCTTGTACAGCTAATAGTGATATCTAACATTAAATTACAGTTCTAAATTTTTTCTTTTGTTGAAAATAGGGTTGTTGTTTTTTTTCATATAATATATCCTGATTACAGTTTCCCCTCCCTCCACCCTTTCCAGCTCCTCCCACCTCCCCTTCCACCCGGATCTGTCCCTTTATATCTCTCATTAGAAAACAAACAGGCACCCAAGGGATGGTTATATAATAAACATAACACAATAATATAATATATTAAGATAAAACAAAAACAAACACACTGGAATAGGACAAAACAAATAAACAGAAGGAAAAGAGCCCAAGAAAAGGCACAAGAAACAGATAGAGACACAGAGACCCCTGGTTTGCACCATAATAATTTTTGAAATGCACAATTCAACAGTGTTAAGCATGTCACGTTTGTGTGCAGTAGATCTCAGAACATCTTCATTTTGCAAAATTGAAACTCTACACTCATGAAATATGAATTCTCCCTTCCCCACAGCCCTTTGGCAACCTTCTTTCTACTTTTCTCTTTTTCGAACTGGCTTGTTTTGCTCAGTGTCTTTTGCTTTCACAGCTGTGACAAAGACTAGGAGGAGGTGTGAGGTGAGAACTCACTGTGGTTCTCATTTGCATCCCCTGACCAGTCTAGTCCAGCAACTTTCTGGCTACCTGGTAGTCACCTTTGTGTCTCCTTTGCAAAGTGTTTTAGCTCTTGACAATTTGTAATTGGCCCTTGAATTGAGCTTTTCGTATATTTTAAACAATAAATCCTTATCAGATCCATAGTTTGAAAATATGCCCAGTTACACAGTCTGTTTCTTGGTGCTGTTGTTTCCTCTGCCATGCAGAGGCTTCCAGCCACTCTACTGCCTGGGCTTTGCTGCAGTTACCTGCTCTCCTTGATCCACAACCAAACGCTGCTGCTCAGAGCAGTGCTTGGAAGCTTTCTCTGCAGCTCTTGTCCAGTCATTTTGCTGTTCCTTAAGTGTAAGTCCATAATCTGCTTTGATCAGGCCCCCACTCCCCTCTCTCTTTCTGTGTATCTTTGCTTATGTGTGTGTGTGTGTGTGTGTGTGTGTGTGTGTGTGTGTGTGTGTGTGCCTCTGTAATGCATACAGGTGTCTGTGTAACTGTGTATAGATGCCAGAGATTAATAGCAGATATCTTCCTCAGTTGATCTTTAGCTTTTTAAAATTAATTAATTACTGATTGATTGCTACAGGTCTCTCACTGAATCTGGAGCTTGTAGATTTGCTGGCTTTTTTTTTTTTTTTAATGTGTAAGCTAAGAAGATCTAGTTTGGTTCTTCATGTTTGTAGAG